GTTGGAGAAAACGCGACCAATGTGACGTAAATACAGAGCGTGAAGCATGTGAAATAAAAAAAGGGGGGTGCGGAATAAAAAAAAAAGGGACGCTATGGGATGTGAGGGGTCGGGAACACTTTTTGTGACGTACTAGATCCAGTGCTAATCTAACTATAGCTATAACTACTAGCTGTAGCAGTAAATATCCTTATGGATAACAAGAATATTAGTAGTATTAGTACTATTTGAAAAACAGAAGTAGTACCAGAAAAAGTAATAGTAGTACTTGTTGTAATTTCAGGACTAAATGTACTACTTCTTAACTATCACTACTTCATTTTCTCAAACTATTTCTTTTTGTCACCTAGTTGTACTTTTAGTCATACTACTAGTTGCTTTATAACTATATCTACTACTAGTATCTTTATCTTTTCTTTAGCCTTAGCTCATATAGCTAGCTTTAGTCCAAGCTGTTTTGCCAGCTTTGGTGAAAGCTGTTTTGGTAGCTGTAGCTTTTGCTAGCAGTATTATACCACTAGCATTAACACTACTAGATCCAGTGCTAATCTATACAGCTTTTGTACTACATACATCCAAATAGATCGATTTTTGGTCCCCAGCAACCAGCTGCAGTCTGGTACGTACAAATAAACAGGCTTCTACGCGTAGTACTAATGTACAGTAAGGTACTGCAAACTGAAGATCCTCTATTAACACTACTAGGAATACTGCAATTCCCACTACTCCTGGAGATGGTGCTGTTGTGGGGGTCTCAGTTAGCAATGTCATCTCTGGAGCTTTACAATCTGATTATTTCTAGTAGTCGTACGGTACGAAGCAATTGAGTGAGAAATCACACTGAATTCATGTGTAAATAACACGGAGACGTGATATCTGGCTTGATCAGACACAATTTTGATGCTTTTTTTCTTGTCAAAGCTTTCTGAGCTCCGTTTCCAAGCTGGAAACCACACTCAAAACACTCACAAAAAACTAGACAAGATGGAATCTGGCTTAATAAGCATACACTCAAATGTCTGAATGTTCATTATTGCTAGTCGGATCAGCAACAAAAGCACCTCAATGGTCTCCAGCAGGTGAGCTGCATACAGGAAAAGTAGTTTCAATGGACTGGAGCAACCCCCTGGTGACTGGCTTGTGGGTGAGTCAACTCCTTCTGGGCCTATGAAAATTTAATCCCACTGGGGAAGCATGGATTCCTGGAATAGCTTGCAGCTTCATTTTATGATCCTTAGTTACTAGCAATGCTTTGGTGTGGCCTTAATTTGTTGTGTTAGAATGAAGCTAATTGCACTCTTAGGTGGGCTTATGTATCTCCAGTAGAGTTTTGTACCTGCAGACAAAGCCCTTCTATTTTGAACAAAATGGCAAGGGTACCTTGATTTGCTGTTTTATAAAGCAATTTCTAATCAGCTTCTGTACTACAGACATCCAAGAGCTGGAGCAAGAGCTGAAGCCAGAGCTGGAGCGGTTGCTGGAGCTGGAGCTGTTGCTGGGCCAGCCACATGCCTGCTTGGAGCGTGTCCGTTCTTTGCAGGTGCTTGCCCCCAGTTGTTGCTACTGATCTACTGTTGGCACAGTACTGAAGTGAAGTATTAC